TTCATGTAAAATTGAAAATCGAAATTGTTATTTCAGTAAATATTTGCATTTTGCACATAGAAAACTGATTCATGATTCCATGTTGATGAGAGCATTAAAATGGGGAAAAATGGGACAAAAAATATAAAAGGAAATTCAGAAACGATAAAAAAAAAAGAGTGAGTAATCAGGATGAATTTTTAGTGAATTTAAGTTAATTATGACAGTTGCATTTTTAATATACATATATATATATATGTGTGTGTGTGTGTGTGTGTGTGTTAGTTTGAACATTAAATATGTTGTCTTTGTAGTGTATTCAATTAAATATAGGTTGAGCAGAATTTGCAGATCGTTGTATTCTGTTTTTATGTTCAATATGTGGTCATCTGGGATGGGGTCAGAGTAGAGCTGAGGATCGAGAGGAGCCAGATGAGGTGGCTCGGGCATCTGGTTAGGATGCCTCCTGCTCTGGGAACGCCACACCTGGTGGAGACCACGGAGATGACCCAGAACATGCTGGAGAGACCATGTCTCCAGGCTGGTTTAGCAATGCCTCGAAATTACCCCAGGAGAGCTGGATAAAGTGGCTGGGGAAAGGGAAGGCTGGGCTACCATGCTACACCGGCTGACCCCACAACCCGACCCTGGATAAGTGGAAGAAAATGGATGGGCGCACCTAAGTAGTATTACAAACCTTTTAAGCATGATGGTGCATTTTAAAACCAAGTAAACCTAAAAATAAATGTATTTCTTAAAAGAAAAAAAAGGAAAGAAAAAAGGGGAAAAAAGCAGATACAGAACAGTCATGGGATTTGGCACCAATGCCCACTGGTTCATGCCTGAATGTAACATTCTAAACGATTATCATCCTCTTGTGTTTTAATTTCATTTTGTTCTCTTCTGCAGAAGCACGATGACGAACACTTACCAGTAAGAATGATGTTGGGCAGCCCTCCGCTGCAGTTAGAGTACAGCATGCTAGAAGCCATGTGCCTGGGCTCATGCAGGTTGCCATGGCTGCCCCCCAGCCCTGCGAGGGCTGACTGAGAGGAGTACAGAGAGGACAGGGAAGGGTCGAAGAAAGAGCCACCCCCTGTGGAGTTCATCGCATTTTCCAACATACTGAACTGGTCCGACTAGCCGGCAGATGGTTCAGGAAGAGAGCAAAAAGCAGAAAACGGTCTCTCAGTATCAATGCATCCTATTACAAGCCATTTCAATGATAATATCCATTAAACACATTGCATTTTCATCCATAGGACGCAACCTATTTTTGTTGTGATTGACAGCGTTCATCCAGCTTAAGGAAAATTAAATGTAAGACTTTTTTTTTAATGAAATATTTTCATGGTTCGTATGACCATAAATTTACTTTTCACCATTCTCATCCATAATTCTGAAAATTACAGTTGTAGTCACACAGTATAAGCCATCTTTTATTTTATAGGGAGGAATATTTGGTCTTACAAACACAATATAAGATGAATACAATATAATAATCAAAACTCAATGGAAAAAGAATGCATCTTTATGACATCAAAGAAGAAAGCTATAAAATTGAAATAAAGGTGGGATGAATACAAAAATGATTCGCAACCGACGTTAGATAAAAGACGGCTGACTTGTGTATTATCCCTGATCTATTTTTCCTATTTTAGTCAGAAATACAGTACACTTGTTGTAGTCGTATGGCAAAAGCAATTCTTTCCATCTTGAAAATGTCATACACAATGTCAATCCATTCATCAGTCATAGGTTTTCCTCGTCTTCAACACCACCTCGTAACGGCTTTCCTCCAGGCAGCACAAAGAATGCCAAATAGGTATTTATGCCCTGGTGGCAGAGCCACTAAATACAAACAAAATGCAATAGAAAGTATTTGAGAAAAGAGCAAAATATGTGAAAATGATTTGTGTCATTTATCTCAATGCATCCACGCTGCCTCCGACATGCAGGTTAATTTGTATTGTGTCTTTTTAGAGCTGGGGTTAGAAAGGACCTAATGTGACTTTTCAAGCAGAACTCTCTCCATCGTGGTGAACTTGAAACCGTCCACTGAAACATGCATTACTGTTCCCGGTCTTCTCCAAACTGAATTGTCCGTTTAGATTTTGAAAACCGTTTCATTACAGCTACATAAAAGGAGTTGGAAGATGTATGCGTGTTAATACCGTATTGGCCCGAATATAAGACGGCCCTGGTTATAAGACGTCCCCCTCTTTTTCAAGACTCAAGTTTGAAGAAAGACTTTTTGAACACCAAATTAATTTTTATACAGAATAACAGTACATCTGAAACAAATGATTATAACAATATATTTGAGAGAAAACATGTTATTTTGCCTCATTCAAATCTCAATATCTGAACATTTAAAAATGTAAACTAAAGTGCAATCACATTTGTAAATGAATGGCTTCTGGTTTTTGAAATGTAAATTACATCATAACTTCTCCTCAGCTGCCGGTTAACCTGGCCAATCTTCGACTTCCATCTTCTTCCATCATTTTCTTCTCTTTTCTTTCTTACCGCTATTTTTTATTTTTCTTCTTCGTGCTACCGCTATTTTTATTTTTATTCTTCGTGACAGGAGTTCACTTTGGCCCGGGGAGTCAAGTTCAGCATTCGCTTCAATGATATCTGGCGCCATCTAGCGTCGTGAATGGGTATAACGTCTAGACCCGAATATAAGACGACCCCACTTTTTCAGTCTTATTTCAATGTAAAAAAACACCGTCTTATATTCGGGCCAATACGGTAATTTATTGGTGTGACAGTGAGTTAATTTATGATACATCTGTTTTTTTTTTCCAGTTTTTCATAAAACTGGTTAAAAAAAAAATCTCTCACTTGGTCCCGAACATAATCACATCAATGTGTGTCTACTGTGAGGTGCTGGCAAATAAATATGCTTCCTGTCCCGCTACGGACTGCCTCTAAGCTTAGTCACGGCCCACTACATACTGTCATACTACAAACTGTCGGGTTGAGTTGTGTGTGACGCATTTGTTCAACTCGGTTTCTCAGCCACACCATGAGTGCCAGGACAAATGTTTTGAAAAATCATTTGATCATCTCACGCTGTCGCCAAGAGCACGGACACCACAGAGGGGGGAGGTGGGACAACAAGAAAAGAGGCAGCGGGGACAGTATATGGGTATGCAGGACCGCAGCAACAAGTGTGGTCAGAGTCCTAACTGTAGCTCTGCAGGAGCATTAGCGCATGGCAAACGCTCCCGGCTCGGTACCCTATAAAGCAGTGGTCCCTCCCCAACAACCCAGATGTGACAGGCCATGCAGATGAAATATTAAAATACTTAAAAATCAGTAGTTACAGATGAAAGAACACAGCCTCATTTTGTTTACACGACAACTTTGCCATTTGTGCGTTTAAACTGATCCAGACAGGCATTGTAAAACATACTCATTGCATTCCTCTTTGCTTGTTTCCCTTGCCGTGATGATCAGTGTGGAGAATGGGTGCTGATATATATTTTTTAAACAGTCTTGTGAATGCTATGCACAAATTGGTTGATGTTTATATATTGGTAACCATGTTCACGTGGTCGGTCTCTTGCAGTGGCGAATCAAAAAGAACTTTGGCGCCACGTCTTACGACCGTTTACAAATGATTCCGACTGTATTGCAAACTCTTGTCAGGGAGACAATGGATTCCTTGCATTTTTTTTCTCGAAATTTCCCTGCGACAAGAAAAACTGTTTGCAACAAGTAAAATCATTGGTGAGCATGTTTGTAACCTTTCATGAGCCCTGACCAAACCCATAATTCGCTATGTTTACAAGCATTGACTGCTCAATGAAATATAGGGTAAAGTCCAACGCTTATAACTTTATTGATTCCGAAATTAATGTGATCTGAACCATTTCATGCGTCAGTTGCCAAGCCCTGATCAAAGAGTGTCTTAATTTTATTGATTTTTTTTTTTTTTATAGAAACAAGTAACTACTTTCCTTAAGTAAAATCCAGGAAAGCTGTCAGTATTTTTTAAAACGCATATTTATGTTAAGTGAAACCAAGAAATCTTGTTTTTATTTTATTTCAGAAAAATGCTATTACTACACATTGTTTTCTTTAAAAGGCACTTCTGATAAATATCAGTAAAACCAGCTGTCATTTTTTGTTGGCGGCTGCTTAATGTAACCGATAAAGCAATTTGTAATCGAAAATAGTTCATTTTAAAATCAAGTACTCAGTCAAGTTACTTTTTCTTGGCAACAGTCGCAGTTTCCATGCATATGGCTACATCACTTCAACAAATATATATATTTTTTTACATTAATGTTCACAGTTAAGGGGTTTTTTTCACCCCAATGCTGCTATTTATTCACAGTCCAAGTGCGTTTCCATAGTTTCAGGCCTACCTGGTACGGGAGGGTTTTGTTGTGGCGACTGGAGAACTGTTGCTCCATGAATGAGTCACTGAAGAGCGGTGCAAAATTGTTGTGCTGTAAGGAACGAAGAGCCACATTGTTCAGAAAAAAGTCATTCATTGTTCACTGTACAATGAAAAGTGACATGTACTTTGTGTGTAATATTGTAATAAGGGCATGTCAGCCATCTTCCTGGCACTAACTTGGCTTGGGTTGAAGTCCAGAGTAGAAACAGGCTGATGCTGCTGCTGGCACTGATGTGCCTGGTCCACTGCATGCTGGGATTGCTGGTAGAGTGGATAGGGAGGAGGTGGCTCCCTTGGCATGTTGCTGGTATCTAAAGCAACTCCCTACATCATAAAAAGAAGCCAGCAGGGGTCGCTAGTAAATAGGAGTTAGTTAATTAAGGCTTAAATAGGGCCTCTTCAGTGAAGCTGTGGGCCCCCACATGGTTTTGACATTTGGAGCCTTTTGTTTATGTTTTTCAAAAAAAAACCCCTTACTTTAGATTAGACAATTTTTAACTCAAATAAATAAGATGTTAGATTGCCAAAATATATATTAAAATGCTCGGGAGGAGTACCTGTGTGATGGGAGACAATGACGGGGACATAGTGGGAGACAGCTGCTTCGACAGACCCCGACGCTGCTCAGCACCAGGAGATAGGGTGAGGGGGCTGATGGGTGCTGGTCTTCGCCGAGGGGAGTTACCAGAAAGACGCAGAGAGGAATTTATGGAGGGATTGCTGAGGGAAGACTGCAGCTGGCAGTTGTTGAGGGAAGCTTGAATTGTGGGATTACTCAGAGAAGAGGAGAGGCCTGCAAATCAAACACATGCAAGACATCAAACCACTGATTAGCCACATTAAAAGGGCTAAACTGAGTCATGTTTCCTTCAAGTGTTATGGTTGGTTGGCCTTTGTTTGTAAAACAAGTTGCTAAGTCGGATGGACAGATATTATGAGGTGGCACGGCTTCACACGCTATAATGATATTAAACAAACAAGATGAATTTTACCAGGAGGGCATTACAACAATGTCAATTAACAGTTTTGTACTCGCTTGCAATTTGTGTTTTTAATGTACCACTCACTATTGTTGGTAACCCCAAAAGTGGTACAGAGCAGTAATGGTAGTACCATTTGGACATTTTGACAATCGAAAAATCGAAAAAACGGATTGTGCTAAAGTAAAGCAAACTGCTTTGCTTGATAGAAATGTGACTTTTAATAAAGTCATGAAACCAAGGCAACAGACGGCTTTTGGAAACCAAGAGAGACGGTGGATACTACAGTTGAATCTATTACGTATTCCATTTCCGGCATGCTTTCCAACCCCAAACCATAGACACCGGCCCATACTGTGCCATTGGGCATTGTTACTGTGCGATTGGGAAGAGAGTAAGAGCCAAAATGAGAAAACAGGCAAACTGAGTGAGAAGAAAAGAGCCCTTTGTAGAGACCCATGGGTCAAAAGTATGCGTGTCTCTGCTCAGCCAGGCTGAACTGTGCTATGCCACACATAGACACAAACTACAGAGATGAGAGGGAGTAGGCGTGGCAACCAAAGTATAAAGTGAGAACATGTTAGTGACAGAGAGATCATTCACTGAGCTTTCCATAACACATAGTCGGCAGGCTGAGATAAACATCTCATGCTAAAAAATGTGAGCAGCGGGTTTTACTGTTCTGTAGTGTGAAGGCAGTCGGCTGGTAAGAAGGTGTGGGACTCCGTAACTACCAAAAAAAAAAAAAAAAAAAAAAAAAAAGATATGTGCTTAGCCAAACTGAGTCACATGTATTATGGGACTAGAAAGGTCAGCGCCCGACCCTCTTGTGTCAATGGTCACATGCATGAGGGGTTGTCGACAATCTTACTGTCATTTCTAACCCGAACGAATGGATGTAGACCATTGCGATATATTTCTTCAGAACGGATGTGGATTGATTTGATCTCACCGCACTCATGTCTGCTTGAGAGTCAGAGATGCTTGAGGTTACAGACATGTATTCTTGCTACCTAAATGCCTCTAGAAAAGTTAGTACAGGAGTTAACAATCTTTTTGACAGTGAGAGCTACTTCATGGCTACTGATTAATGCGAAGGGCTAGCAGTTTGATACTCTCGTCTGAAAAAACAAATTTGGTTTGGTAAGCTTTCAGTACAACCCCGGTCAACAGCAAATTTGAATTGGAGAGGGCTTTAAATGTCCCAAAATGGTGCCGCGAGAGTGGCTGCCTTTCCAGCAGCTCCTATATTTTGTTCTTCTACTTCTTCCTTTCATAACTTTGCTGCTGTTAATTGGAAATTTCTCCATTGCGAGACTAATAAAGGTTTTCTTATCTTTTTTTTCCCAGCACATCAGGTTTTTGAGAAAATTATTTGTTGTTTTTGTAAGTTTGACCTATGAAAGCTTAGGCAATACGGATTAGACCATTTATTGTTATTTATAGTTGTGAAAATAAAAATAAAAAAAAAATCCAACTGTTGCTGAACCTAACCCTTATATCAAAAATATAAACAAATATATTATATTTTGTATTTCCTTTTTTTGCCCAAACTTTGAACCCTACGGCTTTTAATGTGACACGGTTTATTTATGGATTTTTACTGACGAGCGTCACCCATCATTGTCACATTTGACCACTGAAATGACAGAACACGTCACAGTGGACCAATGAAAGTCTCAGAGTCCGCCCTCAAACTGGATACTCGTCATCTATTTGGGGCTGGAACAACATGTTTTACAGCAGCGGGAGGAACCGTCTGCAGAAGCGTGTGTGCTTAACGGTGCGCGCGGCAGTGTCAATGAAGAATTGAGTCAAAATAAGCAGAGGTGACTTAATGGCTGTGTTTATTGCTTAGGAAACAAGTGCAATAAACACAACCATCTCTGCACTCTACCGGTGGGTTTATAATATCAATAATGCCGCATTTAATAACGTGGAGACCCGTGGCTATGAGTCCGAAGATGATAATTTATGTATAAATTAGTTTTTATGCCTTGCGGCTTTTAATCCGGTGCAGTTTGTAAAACGGAAATTACAGTAGCATATTATATCCTGTATTATATTATTGTTGTATCATTATTAGTCTGAAAACCTAATGTGCTAGAGAAAAAAAAAACTGAGGGCAGGTTAGGAATCAGCGCAAAAAATGAATGATAAAACATAGGGCACATTTTAGACCTCTCCAACAGCTGCTTGGTGGGAAACACACCAGTTGACTAACAGTGCTAACCTCATAAAAAACCTCATGTGCACATACATGGTGGACCTCGAAGCTTCAACTCACCCTGCGAATTGCTAATGCCAAGGTGCATCATGGCAGCCGGCAAATTCCCAGTGCTGCTACCTCCGCTGAGATTGGGGTAGCCGCCGTTGTCTTCTGGGTCCAAGGGAGTTGAAAGAGGGGACGGGAAGTGTAGGTTGGTGAGATCGGGTAGGGAGCCTCCTGTATTTAATGAGCCCTGGTAGTGGGAGAGTCCAGGGTTTGGCTCCGGAGATGGGAAAATACTGCAAGAAGAAAAACCAAACAAACAAAAAAACAAGCTATTTGAATTCATTCATTCTGATTATCCAGGGCATGGTAGCGGTTGAACCGATCCCAGCTGACTTCGGCTTGCCTGTGACATTAATGCTGACAAAATTTATATTTTCTGTCAAGAGCTACGACACTAATTTTATGAATTCTATCGATTACAAATGTCTCTTAGTTTCTTGTGCAGTATTTATTACTTGCCATCTATTTCATCAACTTGTGGAGTTTGTTAATTGATCAGCTGTGCATTTTTTCAGCATGACGTCTCTGAACCACTTTTGAAAGGACACTTTGATTCTCTCCTCTTTCATCTAGAACAGCTTCAAATAAAGTGTATGCAGAAAAAGTGGTTAAGATTGCATGACTGTCTGTGTCTTATACAGGTATGTTGTGTTGTATTATTTTGTTATTTTATGTGAACTGTTCTGTTGATGGCGGCGCGGGCGCCCGCAGAGGCTCCTCTCTCTCCTGTGGTCGAGAGGAAAGAAATTTCATCTGTGCTGTATGTTGCACATAGAGCATATTTGACAATAAAGTTGACTTGACTTGACTAAATCTATTCCTTCTATGCATGTTTTGTGTACAGTTTTCTGTTTTAAGTTCCGAAATAAAAATGATTGACATCATTATATCTTGTCAGGGTCTGTGCTCAGCAAGCGTTCCGATGATACAAACTTTTTGAAAATACGATAAATGAGAATGTTATGATGGATGAGGGCTCTCTCTTGTAACTTAATTGTTTTTTTTTTAAATCTGCATTTTTATCCTTCTTCGCATTGGCTGAAATACATCAAAGGCAGCGGTCCAGAAAGTAAAAAAGCTGGCACAGTTTCGCTTTCGCGACGTGCTGGCATTTGGTGCTGGCTTATCCGCCGGTGGGTTGATCATATCAATAATATCAAATGGATGCCCTTTTTGGAGGTAAAATGGCGGTGGTTTAAACATATTAGGGCACACAGTGGTGCGAAGAAAATGGGCCGGTACACACGTGTCGTGAATCCGACGGTGATTTTGCAAACCTATTATTTATGAATATCCAACAACTCTCCAGTTGAGCAAGTTGAGATTTTCCATCTTCTAACCTGAAACCTTTGGTATGTGAACTTCATGAATTACTGCATTCTGTTTTTACATTTCACACTTTTTGTGCAAAAACTAAACTGTCAATGCCATTTAAAATTCACACAGCAGCGGCTGTCTGTCCAATTGGGCAAGCCTTTTCCAGCTAACACTACTCAATCAATTCTGAATTCATAAACCAGCATCTAAGAAACAAATGCGTGACAAACAACCCCACAAAATACTGGACAAATGCCCAGTCTATAAACATAAGTGCTTCTCTGTTGAAAAGGCAAAGCATGAAATCAACTGAGAGGCAGCCTGGCATCTTGGTCTTTATTTATTAGACAACACTTTCAAGAAATCTGATCTTAATTTGGATGATCAGAGGAATATTGTTTTCTCCCAAAGATAAAAGTAGCAAATAAGATTCTATCCAACATCACAAGAACTACAGTACAGAGGTTCATTGACTTCCAAGGGACCTGAAATATGACTTTTGTGAAAGGCGAGACGTCGATTGGATGGGGGGGGGGGGGTCGTCTTGAGTTGCAAGCAAAAATGTAAGCTACGAGCGCAAGATAACAGCAGCGGGAAACAAGGAGCAGTTTGGAAGAATGTAAATACAGGCTGAACCATTTTGATAAATAATGTAATTGCGTTTCTCTCCCCTGAATATTGTGATTTGTTCAACGTCCTCTTCCCATGTGTTTTTTGAACAGACACAAGCAATAAATTAACTTTCAATTAACAGTATCAGATTTATTCTACATAAATGTTTTGGTCTTATAGGTGTAGCTGACACTATAATGAAGACAACTGGACCATCAATTAATAGGATTGTCTTAACGATCCGCTTCAATTACACTTGTGAACTAAGTAAACACTTTGACTTGCAGTCTTTTATGCGCTCACTAAGATAACTGCCCCAAATTTTACCAAGTGTGATCTGTAAACATAGTAAGTCACATTTTATCAATAATGAAAAATCCCTTTATCACTTCAACTTTTCATGTTTCATGAGAAAAAAATAAGACATTTTATTTATTTATTTATTTTTCCAAGATGGCGCCTGAGTAGGCAGCCGTCGGCAAGTGCTCTTCAAGAGCCTTGTGTTTTTTGTTTTTGTGTTTTGTTTTGTCACTTTGTGTTTGTTGTTACGTCGTGTGGACCTGATGTGGACTGTTTTCAGCATTTTTGGCCACGACATTTGTCCAAGAAGAATCTGTGCTTGGTGGTTGCGCCTTGTCGGCGGCACGCGTGTACCAGCCCTGATTTTGATTGGGAGGAATGTCGGCGCCATTTGACTGTCGGTGCTGTTCAGCTCCGGGGTGCTTGTGTCTTGCGCCTGAAATAGGCAGCATTTTCACAGCCCCGCTTTGTTCAGCGAAAAGGTCGGTGCTGATGGACAGTCTGCGGCTGGATGGATGCATGGCTTGAGGAGCCGACGATGAGAAGAAAGGAGCGTCAGCGCAGAGCGCCGATGCGTATGTGGAACTGGGAGTCGCAGCTTGGAATTGAAGCGGATTTACATGGGACAGGAGAAGAGAGCCAATCTCTTTTTCGTTAATGGATGCGACAGCTTCTTGTTGCTTTCAAGCTTAGCTTGTAGCAGACGTGTGCACATTTCAGCACTGGTGAAAAGGACACTTTGATTCGCTCCTCTTTCATCTATTACTGCTTCAAACAACAAAGTGAATGGAGGGGAAAAGTGGTTAAGATGTCATGACTGTGTTTTATGTGTTGTGTTGTATTATTTTGTCATTTTATGTTAAGTGTTCTTTTGATGGCGGCGCGGGCACCCGCAGTGGCTCCTCTTGTTGTCTGTTTAAAAGGGAAGAAATTTCATCTGTGCTTTTGACAATAAAGTTGTACTTGACTTGATTTTCTTTTTTTTGTTTTTCTTTTGACTTGTCTTGCATCTTGCTCTCTCGCATAAAGTCAGCCTCTTACCACACTCACCATTGCTATGGACTGTTCCACTTACGATTCGACTTTAATGTCATAATTGGCACGATCTGTCAATGACGACATTGACTGAATCCACGAAATAAGACATTTCAGTCAACACAACCTCATTCGCTCTGGGATCGTTATGTGCTGCCTTGTATAAGTGAGCCTGAAGGCTCTTATGTTTTTAGCCTTGTTTGTGTCATGTGAGCAGAAACCCTTTCCCATGGCGGGCAGAATCTCCGCCTCTGGGCCTTGGAACATTCAATCTCAAATAACGTTTGCGTATTTTTAATTATTTTTGGGACTGGTAAAAAGTCCCCAAACCGTTTTATTCACGTCATAAAAAGAACTAGCTAGTGTATGTGTTATGTCATTTTAACATCTCTTTTATTCAAAATATCTCTCATCACTCAGCGTAAGTTACGTAAACTTTCAGCCACACACATTCAGGCAATTACAGATGCAACCAGTAGGCAGGTGTGTTGTTTGAGCAAACACGGAAATAGCTCAGCTGTTGACAAGATGCACTAAATTTTTGCTAAACTATGATACAAGATATAGTGCAATTACATATAAAAGCAAAACAGTTTGCGTAAATTGGGCCAAATCTGTGCAGGTACACCTGAGTCAAACGGCTTCTATAGGGAATCGAATGAATACTGCATGAATATTCAAATTTCAATGAATATCAAATGAATATTCATAAAAAAATCTGAGGGTATAGATATTTTGACTCCTTATTGATGCTTAACAAAAGAATTTACATCTCTGAAACCTTTAGCTGTTTTTACGAAAATTTAGTTCAGGCTATGTGAACCACAAGGTGAACTGCGCACACTCACATGGACCTCTGCCGCTCAATGAGATATGGGCTTACTAGATTGTTGCTAGCGAGCAAAAACGTTCGTCTGACATTACTCGTTCATTTGCTCGGCTACGTTATAATGGGTTGGCAGAGAAGCTTAAACTTTTCCTCCTTTGACAACAACTTGCTGATCGAATTAACGGAGCAAATAGAAGACAAGAGAACAGACAACAAAACTTAAAAACAAAAGCTGTAGCGCCGGTGGCACTGCTGCATTTCTGTCTCTGCCATGAATATATGCCAGTCGATACAGTCTTCCAGTTCGCTTAGTAGACCGGTATCGCATCAAAAATTCCTAATTTTTTTTTTTTTTTGAGAAACTTCATTATTTTTGCCCAAGACACTGAAAAAAATGCAGCCATTGTTAGCGTTAAAGGTAAACCATCCCAAATGTCTGTTTAAAGCAAATTCTCAATCACAGTTTGAACTGCAGTTTAAAGTTCTGGTGCAACAGAATATCATTTAAATGTGGTGAAAGAGTGCAAAGGAAACTGAGGTTTAAAAAGAGTTTTCAATTTAATCTGTCTTATTTTAAACAAGGTTTAAAGTTTGGTAGAACGGAATTTACAATTTAAAACATGATTTAATCTAGTTTTAGTGCTGTGCCATCACTATCTGTAAGTACAGCAAGTTCCATTCAAATCAAAATCTGCTTGGTTAAACTGACTGGATGATTTGGCATGAAATGGACCCAGTAGGAGATGTTGTTAACATATGAACATTACATTTTATATTCAATGTTTAGCAGTGTACTTTTAACGAATTTTCACGATGGCAGTTCTCGCCTGGAAACATACAAGCTGCTTAAATAGATGTTTTGCTCTATCTTCTGATCGAATCAGTGAATGAGTATTGTTTTTTCTTTCAAACACTGATCGACACCACAAATGAATGAATAAATAAATAATAATATAAATATATATACACTGTGTATATATATATATATAGAGAGAGAGAGAGAGAGAGAGAGAGAGAGAGAGAGAGAGAGAGAGAGGTAAACACTTACTTGATCCCAGGCACTTCACATGATTTTGGCCTTGATGCAAGAGTCTGGACCTGAAAAAAGATTTGTTTTTAATTAGAATATTACATAGGGATGTACTCATTCACTATACTTCCTTCTCCTTTGGCAAATGAATGGCTGCAGTATAACAAAGAGTTGGTCATTTGTGAAAAGCCCAATATACAGTAACAACACCATCGTTATGCAAATGCAGTATATACTAAAATGACGCCACCTTTCTGATTCCTTCTCCTCCAAAACAGGTTCACGACTCAATGACAAATACACTAGTCAGCAATTTGACTTTTTTTTTAATCAGAGATGCAAGTTAACTTTTGTAGATCGACTTTTTTTTTTTGCACTGATTCCAAATTTGACTTTTTTTCTCACATCAGGTTTTCATAATAACAACAATAATAACAACAATATAACAATATATTGTCATTTATTTAGTAATATTTAAGAATTATGGTTCGGTATCAGGTGGAATCTTTTTCTGAAATGTCATAGCTCTAAATTACAATGCATGGTAAATTCCATATTGCACAAACTTTTATCGGTCAAACTTGAAAACAGGAAAATGAAAATATCTCAAAAACCTGCTGTGCTAGGAAAAGAGTAAATAGATACCGGTACTTTGTTTTGCCTCTCTCTAGTGTGAACTATTAGGGTGGGGACAACTACTTTCAGAGACCTACAGTAAAAACCACCATGACATAAGATTTTATTTGCATTGTTTTTTCTCATTTATAGTTTCCATGCCACTGTATTCTGATCCAGCAACCACGTTATTAGCCACTGACCAATTTTTGGCTATTCTTTGCTCAAGATTCTTGTAGATCTAATTTCGAATGAGGACACTTAATCTGATCGAAACAAGTCTCTTAGATGTTTTCATATTAAGTTTTTCATGATGTGTGTAGATTTTAAAAAGAACACAGTACCAAGTAGGCACCAATCTCACCTTCTTGGCTTCCCACAGCTGCTTGGGGAGGGGTTTACTGACACCTATGAGACCCTCCTCATTAGGTAGGGCAGGGAAAGAAAAGACTGCAGAAAGGATGACATACTTGAATGATCGATTTTCTGTTAAGTCATGTGTATTACATAAACTGCAAAATGTGTAAAGACCATTACTTACTGTCTCCAGACCCATCCACCTCTGCCTCGTTTACACTAGCTGTATGCCAACCTCCACGAGAAACACATGTAAACAAGCAGAAAAAAGCGGGATAGGTAGAGACAATCAATTGAGAAGTCAGAAAGAAAAGAAAAATCATGCAATGTGTTTTGCCGGCCTACATCACACGAAAATCTGAGTATAACTGACGGCGAATGATAATGCATTGGGATTTTTTTTTTTTGTAAACTTAGAAAAATCTTGACGTAATGCTGATAGACCTGTAATATACATTTTACACACACAAAAAAAAAAAAAAAAAACGGGTTAGCGCACACCCCAAAATCTCCAAACAAAAAACTCAGGAAACAAAAAAATATATATATTGAAAAAAAAATTGTTGGAGGAAAAAATAAATAAAAATTAGCGAATAAGTGAATAAGCGGAAGCTGAGCCGCAAGTATGCCGGGGTCCACTGTAGAGGAGGAAGCATGGTAACATCAGCCCCAACACCCGCATTTTATTTTTGAATTAATCAAGGGGCCATTCAGTGTGTGGTCACGGGCTCCAACTTGCCCAGCAATGCCTTACAGAGTTAAGCGCTAGAAGCATTTTCATATACATTATGAACCCAGTTGTATTTATAGAGCACTTTCAAACAGCAATCGCTGTATACAAAGTGCTGTTATTATTAAGACTAAATGTGATTGTGTTATCCACAGGTATGTTTCTATCTGGGCCATGTGTTACATAAATATAGTTCTACCCCTATGGTACTACCCTGTACACTTTTGTTTTTATACGACGCATGTCAAGTGGGATCCCCCCGCCAAAAAAGATATTCAATCGGTTCTAAGTTCCTCGTTGCTATTCCATGCTACCTGAAAAATTACAAATCAATATATTCTGGCAAATTCAACTAATATTCATCCAGTATAGCCAAGTTGGCTTGAAAACGAAATGGTTCTCTTAAAGGTCAAGTAAGAAAGTTGTAAATGTGGAGTTCCGCAGGGATCGATACTTGGCCCTCTAATGTTTTGCATCTACATGCTTCCGTTTTGTGATATGATACGGTTATGCCGATGACACCCAATTATATTACTAGATGTGCCTTAGAAATAAACCCAGGCAATTGCTGTAACCTAGAGGCGTGCTTATTGGAGATTAAACGTGTCAATTTTTTGCTTCTTCGCCTTGATAAAACCAAGGTGTTGATTATGGGATCGCTCATCATCGGCACCTGGGACACCACTCTGATTCTTGATAAATGTATTGCTACCCAAAGTGCCTCAGCAAAAATCTCTGTGTTATATTTGACTCAACTCTCTCTTTTTAAATTCACATGAGAAATGTTACTAGAACTGCGTTACTCTGTAGTTCAACTACATGTAGGCCTGTTTGACTGACACTTCTTCTCTTTCCCTTGGTCCCACCTCTCCAGTTCGGGGAGGGGGCCAGGTGACAATGACAGAATTGGATGTCGCAGAATGGATTCTGCACCGAATGACCGGGACAAGAGCTGAGGTAGACTACTACCTCCTCGGAGGCACTGCAATGGAGATTTCCGCAATGACGAACTAGGCCGATTTTGCCTCTTCCTGCAGCGTTTTATTTTATTGTATGGATTCCGACACTATTCTAACATTGTATAGCAACATATAATGTGAAATGTTGCCCAATTGGCATGCATTGCAGCCTGGTCATCCTTGAAAGAGGGATTCTCATCTGCGGCCCCTTTTCAAGATTTTTTTGTATTAATTGTTTTTCTCTGCCCCCCTGCGGGGTTAAGATCAGGAGAGGTTATTAATATTTTTCAACTGTGGGCATTAAAAGCCCAAAAATAAATTTGACTTTGAAGGCCTCTCAAATGTGCTGTTTGACTGTACTGGGGATTGGGGGGGTGTCACATGTATTACACAGGTGATCTTGAGACTGCCTGCGATGAAAGGGCACTCCAACACGTGCAGTTTTATGATATTTGGAGGATTGGGGGCATTTGAAATCAAGTGCCCGGGAGACCACAAAGTTCAACACATCACCTTCGCATAGGATTAATCAGTAATTGTGGTATGTAGAATGATGGTGTATTCCTCGTCAATGACTGTGCAAAGTTGCAGGATAGAGAACCAAGATGTGAGAGAATATTTATTGCTCTAATTTAATTATAGTTCTATTCTACCAGTAAATCACAACTAGAAAGCACATGAAGAAACACATGAGCATCGAGTGCTGACTGTCTATGTGAGTGCTACTCTCACCATTGCGCTGTGGGGGACCATGACCCATCTGCTGGTTCATGCTGAAGGGGTCCTGTGGGTTTGGGTTCATCGCACTTGTATGAAGAGCAGAGTCTGAGTTGGTTCTGTGTAGGAGGATGGGGACAAATATTCAATGTGTTCTCGCATGTTCACTTCCTAGGGCCATAAATTCAGTGACTCATTTTGCTTCTTCCCCATGAATCTGGATGTTCATGCTGTCCTAACAACTTTAAAAATTCTGGAAAGTATAATGCCTGCAATTCTCAAAGTGTGGGACGCGTATCACTTTGTGGTACCCGCACCTCCCTCTGGTGCACTCCAATAACAGATAATGTGATGTGAACAAAAGTCATGTGTTGTTTGTACTAGGTCAAATTTATTGGTTGTTTTTATGAGAGTAAATTTTGGGTTCAAATTAACCATACAGTGGTGCCTCTACTTACGAAATTAATGTCCTGGAAGAAATTTCTTAACTTGAAATTTTTTTTAGTAGAGACGTGTTTTCCATGTAAATGCCCTAATTCATTCCAAGCCCCCCCCCCCCAAAATTGCAGACGTAAATGTTTTCTAAAGCATAAAAATTCATCAAAATATGTAACAAATAAATGTTACAATTAGATTATTGCACAATAAATGAGGGTTGTGCATAATGTAAAAAACAAAGAATAAAGAATAAAAATGATGGCAATTTAACTTCTAACTCCGTCCTCATCATTTTTTGCCCTCTTTAGTCCATGTTCTCTCGCAGAAGTGGTTTTTGCCTGCCGTTTTATAAAGAACTGATCCAAGGACATTTGCTTTTGTCGGCTTGTAACAATCCTTGGAAAACTGTCCAAGGCAAACATCAGCATAGTGAGCAATTGCCCGACTGGGTGAACACTTTTTCTGGGTGATTCACATTTATGTAAAACTATCGGAACACCTCATGAACCGAGGGGCAAATGACGAGATGCTGCATTGACACATACCTAAGATAAGAAAACCTTTATTAGTCTTAGTATCTACACACATAGACACATATGGTAGAAGTCCCTCTTCGCCAATGGGATGCCAGGATAATGCTCGGTAATAGCCAATAGCAGAGCATCTATAGGTATATTGCGTTCGGGAAACTCGGAGCTGCGAGTAGCAGGCCATCGTGTATTTTACCTTTAGTATTTTGAAATTTCTTTCGTAACAAGAGGCAATATTTTCCTGTTGAGAAGTTTCATAACTTGAAAATTTTGTATGAAGACATTCGTAAGTAGAGGTACCACTGTTTATTGGTTTGTGTGGTTGATATCTCAACACAATTCCTGTGTTCTATGACCCAACTTTTGGGGGATTTCAATTGACCCCAGTCACATTTAGTCCTTTTTTGACCTGGTAATGTTAAAATAAACATTTTTTTGACCCAACTCTTTTTCGAGTTTGGTCCATGAAGTAATAACTAAATATTGTTTTTATTCTCAGATAATGAAATTGGCCTCTTCAAAAGCAATGGTATCCATAACTTCATATTTTGCTAACCTTTTGAGGCAATCACTGCAACCAAACCATTTAAGCAGCACATTTCTCTCTGTGTTTTAATAGATTTAATTCTCTGCACAGATTGAAGACACACTTAGTCAGAAAACCATGCCTTGAAAGAATTGTTGGCACCCTTGTATTAAAGAAAGAAAAACCCAGAATCACCACAAGAATTGTCCCAGAAGCATTGAGGCTTATCAGTATGCACAGCAGTAAATTCCATTATCGGTTTCATTCAGTTTAAGTTACTTTTGTGACAATTGCGTGTGTTTAAATTTATTTATTTTTAACAATAATGTACCAACAATTTTGCTGATGCCGCGCGTTCCTATTGTGTGAAAAATGGAGGACGCTCGGTGACTTTCTGGGCCTGCTCTGAAACATCTGGCACAGTTTTTTCTTGAATCTGTACAAGGAGCAATGAAACCTCAAAACTAACAAGGCACTATGGAAAAAAATGTGCTGCTTAGTGTCAGAAAGCAAGAATGCCTAAGAGCAAAACATTACACAATTCTAAAGTGGCATTCTCTGAGCCATGACCGAAGGCAGGGCTGCCCACACTTTTTCAGCATGTGAGCTACTGATAACATGATAAAATTCCAACTGATCTACCGGTACCTTATTTGTTTATTTGATTTAAAATATACTTTCAGTTCTTTACATGCAAACTATATATTGGGGTACCTTGCATAACTGAATGAACGCATGTGTAGACGCGGTGAGGGATGCAACAGGCATATATGACTGGCTGCCCTGTAGATCAATTAAGTGACAAATTTCACAACGGGACTCTACTTTTATTCATTGTTCTTAATTCATTCACTGCTCTTGACAGGCAGCTTTATCAACTGCATAAAACTGTGAGGGATGGCAGTCAATGAGTTAATGCCATGAGAGCTACCGACATGCCCTTCAAGAGCTACTTATAGCTCGTGATCTACCTAATGGGCACGCCTGACCAAAATCCTATTGAAAATCTGTGGAAGGAGATAAACATGCCTTCCAAGGCATCCTTCAAACAAGAGGCAGCTGGAGCAGTTTTCTCACAAGGAGGCGTCCTAAATACAAGTTGACAGGTGCAATTACTATTTAAATCTTTTGATTGCAACGATTGCCTTGAAAGGTTGCCGGCCCTATTTATATTGCCCTTTGGATGGTAATCAAAGGGGTGGGTGGGTGTGATGGGGGCTGACGTTCCGCACCCTGCACCCCCAAAATAGAGGGTGGGGATTCTGTCTCTGTGCAGCCTGGTACCAAATGGGCCGCGGACCGGTGGTTGGAGATCATGCACTAGTTCACAGAAATCAAAATGCAATCAGAAAATTGTTTAGGTAACAAAAGATGGAAAGAAAATGACAGCATCAATATAAATCATAATGCTGGATGCTAACTTGTAGAAGGCCTTGACTCCTGAAGCTGTGTTAGTAAGAGAGAAATTAGTGATTAATTTCTCAGGGAACGAAACTACACAGAAGAACGCGAAACAATTGGGAGAGAAAAAATATGGAATAAATCATGACAAAAGACATTCGTTCTGACTTGTTGCCTTTCAGTGCTTTGGTGGAAAGAGAGAATTATTCTGATGTTAGAAGTGAAGAAGTGGTTATATGAAGAATTGAAAAGCAAGACAAACTAACCAAATGAGATGGCAATAAGACAATTAACATGTTGGTAGTTATGTGAGCATGGGATGAAGCAGCCATCAGAGATGATAGAGGGGCAGAGAGGTCAAAGGTCACCTGTTGAGCTGTGATATTAATCTAAAGCCAGGCCGCTTTTCCTCACTCCATGGGGGATGATCCCTTCAAAAGAAACAAATGTATTTGGAGTTAAACAGAGACCTGTGGGCGGAGAGAAAGTGTTTGTAAAGAGCATCTCAAATGTGTCTGTTCTGATGCAGAAAGACCATGGAGCAACGTCAGAAGAAGCAGAGTACCATCGCCTCTTTAAGAATCTACCATTTAGACCACAACTAAGGCCGAAGCACCTTGTTCTTTATGCTGTGGTAATACACACATACTGTATACTGTACAAACCCTTATTCCGGGATCAAAGTTTTTTCCAACACAGTTTTTATTGGACCCGGAACCAACCAGACTGGGAATTTAACGGAACAAAAATAGTGTGCAGTCTACTCAAACCTCCCCTTTGTCCAGTGGTTGTCAAAAGTCTGTTAGTTCTCGCATTTGCCACTAGTGTTGACTTGCGCGACAGCGCAATCTACAGACAAAGATTGGAAGACGCATTTTTCCGTTTGTGCTGCTGTTACAGATATGCAGTACAGTCTAGAGCAGGCTACCATACTTGAATATGTGGCAGGGGGTGACAATTTGCACAAAACATACATGTTATAAAACATGTTCATGGACTTGGGTTAGTTTGCCTGCTGTAGAGTGAGTGCATGTCCATTACTAGCCAGAGGGGGAAAAAAAATGTCTGGCTCTGTGTGCTTGCTGCTGAGATAGCCAAGGTCACGTGTAGAACTTGGCCAAACGGTCTGACCTGTCCTCATTCTGCGCCCATCACAGCAGCGTGTCCTGCAGGGTCAGAATTTGTTGGCACCAAAATGTTTGAAAATAAGCCCAGACCACTTCCTGTGCGGTGGAATAATCCCCTGCTCTCCTTCCACTTTGAAAGCGTAGGCAGAAATGCTGTTCCAAATCCTGCTGGAGCCTGACTCTGTGTGTGTGTGTGTGTGTGTGTGTGTGTGTGTGTGTGTGTGTGTGTGCGCGCGCGCGCATACATAAAATCTTAACAAAAAAAGTAGCCATTCCTTTTCATTTCTAAGGTTTCTAGTTCGAAAGGTTGTCAACAAAACTGCAATCATGACAGTATGCAGTGCGAGCTGCTTTGCCGGCAGTTTGTGGCCTGTGGCCTGTGTTTGCTGTTTTTTCTGTTTTTTTTTTTAAATAATGAATGCATTCATTATGTCAGAATTCTGGATGTTATGAAAATGATTTATGACGGCTATTGGACAAAGGCATGTACTGTTTTTGCTGGAACAAAAGTAGGCCGGGCAGTACATATTATATTACTGCTGTGTAAAACAAATTAGCAATACTGTTCAAATATTGCACTTTGGTTAATTTGTTCACAAGGTTAGCTGTGATCTTATGTTTTGGTCTTGTATTTACTAACAAAAATGCTGGCATTTTTTCAAGAAGGCAGCAATAAGCCCTTCTCACATTTCAATAAAATGCACAAAGAACGGCTAAGACAACTCTTAAGAGAGGGAAAGCAGACATTTTAAAATCTCTCTCCTTTGAAGGCCACTCGACAATATAGTGCCATCTCCAGGGAGCTTGGTCTGGGATTACATCCCAAGAGAGGCTAGGACAGGAACACAAGGTCAAAGATTGGTGACAAGAAGGGGGAGAGCGTGGGACGAGATCATGGTTTTGACTTTCAAGAAGACACACAACTCCTCTCCCCAACTCAACACTGACATCAAGCTCACTAAAAATGGCAATCTATCATCATATACAGTGCTGTGAAAAAGTATTTGCCCCGCTCCTGATTTCTGTTTTTGGTTTTTTTTTTTTGTGCACATCTATTCACACAAAGGTTTCACATCATCAAACCCATTTTAATATCACTCAGTGGATTTGTCAATTTCAGTGAGCTCTCTGGTTCACATTTACTGCGCACGTGTGAAAATGGTATCAACCGTGTGTGTGTGTGTGTGTGTGTGTGTGTGTGTGTAAGCAGGATTATGAACTGGGCACACCCAGGAATGCGTCTGCCCAATTGCTGCACAGTTCATTTTGCACATTCTGGGAGGCGGACGCTGCAAATACTGTAGATCAGGGGTGCCCATTATGTTGATCGCGATCGACCAGTAGATCAAGGACTGGTCCCAAGTTGATCCGAGGGGTGTAGAGGGAAAAAAATAAAAACTACATTTGTGTCTCTGTCCATGTTAGTACCAGTAATATATTTTTTATGTTAATGCACACTGCATCCTAATCATTCTATCAGTCTCACTTTCACAAAAAGTATTTAAAAAAGAAACTAAAATAAAGCAGGTCATCTTTAACCTAACGGTGACGAGTGACTGCGTCACCGGAAGTTGTTAGCCCTCAACAGTCTGCAGTTGCAGCTTGTGATCAGAGTTGTTTCGCTATATCTTTTATCATTCTCATTATTCTCATTCAGAGTGTGTTTTGTAGAATTCACCGAGGTCACGGGCAAAAATGGGAATCTGGAGGGCCGAGAGAAGCATTTTAAACGGGACGCGTGAACTACGATCGTTAACAGGCTGCCTAAGTGCGTCGCATGCCTCAGCGTCAGGCTATTGCTCATCATGGCATGCGTGTGTACCTGCGTGCGCGGTAACGGGTCGATCACGGGAGGTTGGTTGATCGAAAAGTAGATCTTCGGTCAAAAAAGTTTGGGCACCCCTGCTGTAGATGAATGTGAGAGAGAACAATGTAATTGATCAAATTGTGATGGGCTATTTCACATCTTTAAAAAAACGCTTCAAAAATGCAAACTGGCAAGCACAACAGTGCAACAGGTGCAAAAACATTTCCGCTTGCCAGAACTAAAAATCACGACTTAGGTTTCATGCAATGTTGAAGCTTCTGAACGATGTGAGGGGTTATTTGGAACCAGTAAGAAAGAGCCACACCACATCATTTTTAGACAAAGCTCCTTTCAAGAACTTCCTTTTCGTGCATCTTAGTCATTTCAGCCGCAGTGGGACAATTGCCCATCTCTGGCCTCTCCCAGAGCAGTTTTTTTCTGGTGCGTTGTCCTGAATGTAATTTAGTATTTTAAATGTTAGGATAAGCACATACAGCCAATTGCCATGCAGTTTGGATGAGATAATCATACTAAAGATGGCTTTTAAATATAATAGCTTTCTTTCTTGTAATTCAATATGTGTGTATGCCTCTTCAAATAAGACGACCAATCCCATTAATTTTTCAAATTTTCCATGGTGAAACGATCAGAGCTAAGGCACAAAACCTTATTTTATTTTCCACCATTTTTACACTTATTGCAAAAAGCGTATGCAGTCTACTACAGTGGACATGCAATTTAGTGCCCACTCTGGGAACTTAGTAAATCTGGCTTACTGTGTTTTATTTTGATCAGTCAAAAAAAACATTTCAATCTGAACTTGCCTTTAACACTCCAATTTCACTAATCTGACCTTTCAAAGCCACTGACTCAACGGCCTGTGGTCCCAAACCGGTGACGTGGCTTCTAAGCCCGATTAGGCGGGGCCGCCACCATTATACAAATTCTGATCCCAGACATCAAAATTACATGATAAAAACTATAAGGTTATACGACACAATGGACGTTTTTCTATAATACTGCATAGTGTGTTGTAATGTGATCACACATCGGCAGAAGGAGTCACAGGTGCCTCACGCACACGGTGCCTCCGATTGTGAACATGCATCTCGGACGAACATATTACATTGTTAGTTACAATAGAGCTAGGAGAGACAGAAGTTGCAAAACTACCTTCATAAAGCCTATATGTTTCGCAAATGAATGAGTTATTTCTTCATTTAAGTTAACAGAACCGTTAAAGGTAGAGCTTATTGACACTGCAGTTTTGAAAAGTTTCGCCCCGGGGTCAGTTTGATTCCAAGACTCAGGATCCATCCCTACTCCCCAGACAGAGCAACTTCCTCGCTATCCATTTTCCAAGCCTGCTCCTTCTTTGCTCAGTCCTAGCAGCTATTGATAGCTGGCTGTGACATTCTCTTGGTCCTCGCAATGATATTGTCCTACATTGTAGTATTTGAAACATGTCGCCAGAAACACTCAGCTCGCGTTTAATCTAACAGCAGCATGAATATTTCTCATTATTCTTGGATACAGAAGCAGGAATTCGTTCCAGTTTGACGAAAACATGCATGCCTGCTAGTGATTAGATGTGTGAAAGTAAATAGGAAGGAATTTGAATTAAAGACAGCAAACTGAAAGGCCGACATCCATACATAAAACTGACAAAACACTGACAAAACTGACAAAACGCAAGATTACAAGAAAATTAAAGGATTTTTAGTACACCTTGTAGTCTGAAAAATACTGCAATTGAACAATGAATATGAGTAACAACAATAGACGTTTTATCGCTAAACAATATGGATAACTTTTGATTACTGCAATGCACTTTACTTTGGAGTCAGCCAATCCTCCATTAAGCGTCTCCAGCTGGTCCAGAATGCTGCTGCTCGCCTCTTGACTGGTACTCGAAAGAGGGAGCACATAACTCCTATCCATTCCTTCAGTTATTTTCAAGATCCTATTTTTTGTTTTCAAATCTCTAAATGACCTCGCGCCACCTTACCTCTCTGAGATCATCCACCACTACACACCTGCCCGGCGCCTCAGGTCTGCGGACCAGACATTATTAGAAGTACCAAGAACTAAACAGAGGCTCAGAGGGGATCGAGCCTTTTCCGTTGCTGGTCCCTCTCTCTGGAATGACCTTCCACTGAACATTCGGCAATCCCCCTCGCTGCCCATTTTTAAAACCCGCCTCAAAACTCACTTGTGTTCTTTGGCATTTGACTCAGCATGACTCAGATTTGATCTTAGTTTTACTGTTTGGTGCTTTGTACCATCTTTGTTACTGATTTATTGCTTTACTGTTGTATATGTTAGTTGCTCCATGTACAGCACTTTGTATGCAGCGATGGCTGTTTGAAAGTGCTCTATAAATACAGTTGAGTTGAGTTGAGTTCTAAATGTATTGACCGTTAAAAAACACTGCCCAAAAACACAAAAAACAAATGTGATTAATACATGCAGTGTATTGACTGTGAACTGCGGGTAGATTGGAGTTGTTTGGAGGTGAAAGATTGAATTGAGTTATAATGGCATTCATCCTCAAATATGTGACTTGCCTGTCTTGTCTTTAATGCCACACATAGTTACAGTGCTTTGCATTTTTTGTACATTATTTTGTGACCTGATGGTGGTAGTAAGAGGTGGTTTGGGTCACTTAAATACCCATTGAACGCCCAGGTCCGAAACTCTCCGCCTGCCACTGCAATACAGTATGGAGGAAAAGAAAATCATTGATGATTTGGTCATTCCATCATTTCCTGGATTTCAGTTCTAGACAGTATATCATTCTATGAAGGTTATGTGTAGTGGGTACTATAAATGTGAAACTCTTGACTTAATGGTTGTAGTATGGTTGTAGTTCTAAAGTGTTGGTTGTAGTTCTAAAGTTCATAAGGATTACGTTTTTGCCATAAGATCCTCTTTATATAACACTGACAACAATCCCTATAATGCCAACTTGAAAGCAGTAAGACAAAAAAAAAGACAATTCCGAATACAAGCACACTGCGTGAATCATTTGTTGTTTTTAATTAAATTGAATTTGATCTCTCTAGATTGCACTGGCTATAACGCAATACAGATGTGGTTGGTGTTGTAAACACTTCCCGGCCCACTATCCCCAGAGACAGAGAACCAGGCAATTATTCCTGCAACAAAACAAACCCTGGATAATTTCCCTGGATGGCTATTAAAGAGAATCCAGGATCTATTCTTTAGAAAAGGCAGATGGAATATACAAAGAAAATGCATGCATCAAAAACACAATAGTTACTTTGAGAGAAGTGCAATAATTTCCCTCCATGGCGCTGGGATTTCCCTGCAGCCTTCAGAAAGACTCATTTTTATTTGGAAACAGTTAAGTTCATGACAATAAAACCAATGGAAATAAAATGGCTGGTGGGCTCCATCAGCCATCCATCTCTCCTCACATTTATCTGAATCTGCACAAATACTCATCTTTGGGCCGATGACCTGCAGTATTAATCAGTTTTGTGAAAATCAGGTTGCATAACGCCATCTATTCCAAAACAATCATTAATTGCAGTGACTGACAATTTTCTGTATTTAGTCTAATCTAGGGCTGACACTGGGCCCTCGAGTACTTCAGGAACCACGATTATAAGAATAAAAACGCTTGAGGTATTTTTCTTGATTCGGGTACCACCTTATTTACGTGTACATTGTTGGAAGTCCTCAAACTAACCCTAGCAACAACTGTTCATGCAATGCATGGCAGTAAGATGCCACCTATGTAATAAGGCCAGTTTCAAAATAAACCTTAGCATACCAAATAATATACGGATATCAATCAATGTCTTGGTACGCTTTTTTTGTATTTCACGCATAATGGCCGAATTGACTCGTCTCCTACAGACGTCAACAAGACAAAGGTGTTACAAAATAAGGTTCAATCGCTGAGTCAGGGTGCAGAAAAAAAAGACTGTATTACGCTGTACCCTGCCAGTTTTGCGACGGCTCCTTCCGCGTAGCAAGCAAGGCAGCGAGAGCCGTCGGATCAAAGCCAGTTTTACAGAGCTAAATGACTGCGCACTAGAGGCTTGACCCAGTTGCTGGCCTTTTGGATTTAGAACCAAGCACATAAATACATATATGTATATTTTTAAACTTTTATCCTAATACAGTGGTACCTCTACTTACAAAGGTTGCTTCACACGAAATTTTCAAGTTACGAAACGCCTCAACGGGCAAATTTTGCCTCTTATTATGAAATAAATTTCAAGATACGAAAGGTAAAAATACAGTCTGGGATGCTACTCGCAGCTCCGAGTTTCCTGAACGCAGCATACTTGTAGCTGCTCTGCCGTTGGCTATTACCGAGCATTATCCTGCATCCCATTGGCTAAGAGGGACCTCGACCGAAAGTGTCTGTGTAGATTGATAGATAAATATTTTAATGCATTTTTATGCTTTATAAAACATTTATGTCTAAATTTTGGGGGGCTTGCAACAGATTAGGGCATTTACATGGAAAACGGGTCTATACTTACAAAGTTTTCTAGTTAAGAAATTTCTTCCAGAACATATTAATTTCATAAGCAGAGGTACCACTGTACCTGATTACTCAATAGAATTTTCTGTACGATATCTTAACACCAAAATATTCGATAGCTGCAACCCCACTCTGATCTTTTTACTTTTTGCTGTTTATTGACTGGTACAAGATTTCTCATGTCTGTGCAGACCGAACAGGGCCGCCTGCGGCCGTTCTGCAGCAGATTGTTGCCACAGTGTGAATTATGGCTATCTCCCCCTCACCTGTGGATTTTGGCCCAGTGCAATATCAATCAAGCCTACGAAGCACAACATACCCACAATGTCTTCAAAATGTGTTCAAAAGATGCAGCATGAAGACAGCTTGATTTGCGACAGTGATTGTGAATTTTCTAGATACATGAGCATTACATCTAGAGGTGTCAAAAATAATTAATTAATCGAAAACTATTTTAATAAGCAAGCAATCGTTTAGAGCCATTGTTAATTTACAATTACCCAAATCCTTTGATTTCAGTCTCTCAACACTCAGAATTCTCCGATTGCTGTCGTACTTCATGAAAGCAGTAGGGCTGTCCTAATCAAATATTTTTGGAATTCTATCGACTAATCAAACAATTAAATCCAATTTTATTTTGCATTTAAATGTCTTTCCCCCCCCCATTACAATTATTAACCAATTACTGCTGTTTATTTGGTATTGTTCAGTGATTTAAAAAAAGAACAACTCAACAATAATTAAGGAATATTAGATGAGAGGGATGAATGCTGTACTCGCTAACCTTTTTTTAAACTGATTCAGTTAAGGGCTTGCTCATTGTTTTCTAAAGTAAAATCAGATGTTTGCAAATTTCTTATTTGGATTAAACACAAAAGAAAACAGGTCTGCTTTCATCAAGGACTACACAAATCTCAAAAAGAATGTATACTGTTGAGGGGCAGATCATTTTACACCAAACAATCAAATATCAAAATAACAATGGATTAATTCTCATCATAGATCAGTTGTCAATACATCAATTAAATGTTCAATTTCCAGTCAGTAGCATTCTTTGTTTATTTGGCATTGTGCGTTTAGCTTTTTTGTTTGTTTATTGTGGTATGTGGAATTCATAATGGCAGTGTAACTAAATGTTATGACAACATAAAATTCAGGAAAACTATTTTAATGACTGTATGTTAACCCTTTAGCTCTTGCAAATCCTACATTGTATAATGTGCCACGCTCTAATGCATTAAATTGCAAAGTGTAAATACTAATCTAAACAATGATTCAAAACACTTTTTAAAACAAACCAGTTTGAATTATGTTGAATTTTGCATCATATGGTACACACAGAAACACACCCAGAGCAACACAACTTGCAGTTTAGTTGCTCTGGATGCTTGTGAGCCAACCTGTTCGATAACAAAATTTTTTGTTATCTAAATTAATTAAATAAATAAATAGAATACATTCAGAAACTGCATTTTGTCTTTCCTTGGGTTGTTGTCTCTGTGTGATATTTAAATTGGTTTGATGAACTGAAATCTTTGTGTGAGATAAATATGCAAAGAACACAGAAATCAGGAAGGAAGGGGCCAAATACTTTTTCACGGAACTGTACACCTTTGCAGTGAAGACACATCTCTCGGGTAAAAGCAGCATTCTGACACTGAATGTATTGCTGCAGAAACAATGGGGGGTAACAGCTACAAGTGCTAAACCTAAGTCACACTGCACAGCCACCAGTCATCGTTATTTCGTATTGAAGGATGAACAAAGGGACCGAGTGTCTGGATCAAAAAACAAAAGCTGGGATACACAGAGAATGACACAAAACAAACTGCAAACAGAAAAACGAAGATAGTAAAACATTTTTTGTAAGAAGAAGAAATTGGATTTCTGTCAAATGAGACACTCACCTTCTCCAGTTGTTGTCTGGAGGTGGGGACAGGTATACGGTTCCATATGGAGAACTCTCTATGTGGGTTTGGTCAAGGAAAATTGGTTGGTGCTGGAAGATGAATACTGTTGATCGGTAAATACGTCGCTTTTCCTTATCAGGAGACACGAAGCAAGTCATGTCCAAAGAATACAATGTATCAAATTTAAAACAAAACGGTTTTGTCACACCGTCATTCCGTTCTTTTAATGTTATATTCCATTCATAGATTGAAAAAGGTATGATAAATATGAAATTCGGACACCAAACCTTTCATCTTATCAACAATCAGTTTTGGATATAATTAAAAAGTTCATTAGGATTAGGTTGTTGCCATGAGATCATAATGTTAAAAATGGATTGGGATCTGAATTTGCATGTTTAGTATAAAACAAAACCTGGTAGCACTCATTTATAACAAAAGCACACCCTTCAAACACAATCCAGATGACACAAATGCAAAGGACATTGTAGCAGTTCCTCCACTTGAATAGAACCAGAATCAGAAACAGAAGACAAAGAAGCGAGAGATGAAAACAAATGTCTTTTCTCTGACCTTGCCACCCAGTGCAGACACAGGTCGTGTCAAATTTTTATCACAGTCTATGCCGCGGTCCGCTCAGAAAAAATGGATGGCTGTAGTTTGGATACCTCCAATATAAACCGTGCAAACTTTTATGACAGGGCCCCCTAAAAGAATCGGGACGGAAAACTAAAATGAGGATCAGGAAGCTGAACCAAATTCAAACGATGCTCAACCCCTTACCCTTGTATTCTGGTAAATGGGCTGTCACTTACTGTATATAGCACGTTTTTACCTTTGGTACTCAAAGGGCCTTACACTGTTTCCTCATTGACCTAATGATGACACAGCATCGGGGGCAATTTTATTCCCGAAATATACACCTCCCATGCCCATTGACATCAAACAAAAGAAAGCAGCTAGTGTGTTTTCCTAAACATAGTGTCTGTCTTAATTACCCTTGAAGAAGATAGTACCCTTAAAGAACATATATGTACCAAGTGTAGGAAATAAATGCTGGTAAGAGGTCACATGACACAGGAAGAAGTCATTTTCACACATCACTGAATCATTGCTCCCCTCTGGCAAGAGGAAACACTCACACTCATTCAAATGCTATGGCAGTGGGGGTGTACTGTTGGATCAGTAGGCAATACTGTATGTGTTACATGCAAATGTAACATATTGGGTGTGAATTTAAAAAAAACCCATACAATTCCTCCCCTCCATCTTGAGATGCTTCCTGTATCTCTTGGCAACCTGGCACAGATCATTTAGAAAAGATTACAAATGGAGTGGATGGCCTTGTGTTTTTCAGTCACTTTGATGAGTCAAATATTCATTAGCATAATAGTTTTGTGGCCTACTATTTTGGGTTTTGCGAGGACACACTTACACCAGGACATTTGTACGCTACCGGACTTGGCCTAGCTTTAGCGCCCATCTCCTGAGCGAAATAAACGTTCCTTTTTTTTTTGTTATGAGGCAAATATGAAAATGCCAATACAGCTCAGGTTTGAATCTTTTTAATGCGCTGTCTACATTTGCTGTGCGCATGGTTTGTGAGAGCTGTGCACAATTGGGCATGAGCTCAGTTTAGAGGGAACATTGACTACAACTGCCTACGATTGTGTCAGCACTGTTCACATTGCACCACATACTTGTACGTCATTTTCCAAATGTAGCTTGAAAGCACGCTTTTGAAAAACAGATTCACATGCCATGTTGACAATACTATCTACATCACACGAAATTATACTACTTTTTAAAGACTGGTTTGGTAGGATATCTGCCGTCCATGCTTGTCAATGGGCCTGCGATGGGGAGAGTTGATGCGGTTGCGTTCCCTGTGGACCCTCTCAACTAATCCGTGGTGGCGAGTACCTCTTACAGAATCCAACGCTGATGGAAAGCCTCCCTGAGAAATAAAGACAACATACACTTTAGACCGCAGTTTTTATAATGTATTCATTCACATATAAAGAGACACTTAAATGTATCCCGCAGCTTCTCTCAAGTAGTAACGTTTTTAATACTATTCTGAATGGTGGTTATGGGTACGCTTGTAACGGTAAGATCAATGGAAACAGAAAAGGCCTTTGCCAAATTCAACGACATTTAAAAGTGTCACATTTAAAAGTGGAAGACTTCCCAAAAAAAAAAAAAAGGGACTCAATGGCATCAATTGTAACGGTTCAGAGCTCAAATGGAACTAAATGTGAATATAACTCAATCATGGATGATTTTTAGTAACAAGAACAGATTCTAAAGGTTGCAGTGTGACTGATTGCATTCACAACCACATTGCTTAAAATGAACCATTACACTCAATTTGCTTTGAATAGCCGAGGGGTATTAAACTCATAATCATCGCTGGCCACATCGTATTTCTGGAGTCAGTGCTGTTATGACATTGTGAAAGCAACATAAATGTAAAATCAACCCATTGTATTCTTACATATAAATAATTGCAATACTATCCAATATCCTGTATACACTATTAGGTAGGGTATCCGTTCCCGTGATCAGAAATCAGGGACGAAAAAGATGAAAAGATTTGAATGTTCTTAATTTCTGAAGTCAACAAAAAAAGTATTTGTTTACTTGATTTTAACCACTGTTGAATTATTGCGATATAAAAAGGTACCATGTTGGGATACCTTCATTGGAATACCTTTGCAAAAGAAAATTGAGAGTTTGGGTGCACGCTTTTTCTCCCCTCCTAAATGCTTTGCTGGAGTATCAGATCAGGACTCGGTATCGGCACATACTCAAAATTATGTGACTTAGACTCGAGTGCACAAAATGTGACCGGGACTATTGTAATACAGTATTAGGTAAATAAAATGAACTCTTGTTGAACTTATCCAAGGTGCTTGTTACATTTGTAAAGAAAATGCAATGTTGGTACAGATTTTCTGCCATTATGAAAAGAGCAAGTCTATTTAGCAAAAAATATGAATTAGACACTATGGGCCATATCAAGTGAGTAAAAGAGAAAAGCCATGCACTTTTGTGGCTATGTAAATTCTACCATTGGCTCAAGTATTCCATACATTATGCCACATACGCGCTGTGGGTGGAGCAATCCTAAAATGTGGATGTCCCTTCCCCTCCCCTAAATCTCTCTCTGAATGCATTTTTCCCCATCAACTTAAGCACTTTTCCAGCACTGAAAGCCTGTATTAAGTCCGTGTCCCCGGGAAGGTACACATTACTTATTTGAAGTTTGGATACAGTCACAAATATATGCCATCCATTTTTTTTTTAAATAGTAGTCATAGGTAGTATGCCAGCCTTGGCATTCATCTGCAGTACACCGACATGAAAACTCAGCACTCCAGTCAGAACAATTATCACCAGACAGATGCTTATGATTTCAACAGTCGTTAGCAGGGGTCCCCAACCATCATGTGTGGGATGAGCTGGATGAGTGAACCAAAAATAATTGCTTATTAAAGGTCAAACAGGTGCTGTGAGTCAACAACTACAGCATTTGAAGTTCTGACTTTTATTGGAAGAAAATATCAGCCCAAGTGGACTTTTTCCGCTGTTCGATCATGATGCTCACTTACAACTGCGAGGAGGGACTCCACTTTGAGTATGTTCCTGGCTGGCGTGAACAAACAAGCCAAGTTAGATGCTCAGGGATGTACAGGCAATAAAAGTCAAACCTGGCATTTTTGGCTTAGAATACTACATGTGCACGAGTACGCGCGCACACTTCAGTGCGCACGTGTACACGCGCACTTGAGCATGCATGTGTACAAGCACTTGTAAAGGTGCGTGCACCTACGCAAGGTTGCAGCCACCTCTGTACCTGAGAAGTCATTGTTTGGGTTTCATTAAAATAATGCACACAAGATCCTGAACCTTGCTCAACACACTCATAATACAAGTAGGATCAAGTCTAAATAATAGCACCGTTTTGCTGATCTTAGCTTGATAATGCATTTCATTTGCCATTGTTTTGCTTTTAGTCTACTTCAATCTCATGCACTGATTGGTAATTGCTAGCTAACAGCCAAACAAAGCCGACACGCTTTTGTATTCTGTGATTCATGGCCCATTCATTCAAATCATTTCTAAATAGCACAATGACACAAACATATCTCCATTCTTCAGAATTCTAAATGCTGCTTTTTACAAAGGTTGGTTTCTGCTTGTACTCTGAAGACCTTTAGCGAGGTTCTGAATATGTTATTTTATTTCATGAAACCTTGACTGTGGATGGTATGATAATAATTTCTCAGCCACACTGTTTGCTTGCTACGGTGTGACAATATTGGATTCAAACGACATTAACTGGAAGAATCAAACATTCTATTCTAGAGACACATTTTTACACACATTTTTTTGTTGTTTATCTGACCTTTTATTATAAATCACAACAACGCTGTGGGCCGTAGCCGACGCCAAAACAGATTCAAAACAGCCTGAGGCAGAGGATACACTCAAACGAACTCCTCTCTGAGTTGCATAATATAGTGTCACGGCCACTTCCCTGTCCTGCTGGGGTGTTTCCTCAAGCAGACAGGCAGGGGATGGTCGCCACCTGGCTTAGCCACCATAAAAACAATGCTCCTCAGTAGTCACTCGCTCGCTGTTTGTTTCAGGTTTTGTTTTGCAATAATATGCAACCAGTATCAGATTGTCTGCGTCTCCTCATTTTTGCCACAGGCTTTGATCCTTCTCTGGAATGCTCCTCCCATTCTATTAGTCACGTGATGCATTAAAAAACACTCCGAAATAACACGGCTCAGCAAAAACGTGCTACGTTGCCAACACGACACAAACATCCTAAACTTCCCACAGTCAAACAATCATTTTCACCACTTGCACATTTTCTAAACTACAACGTTGTAACTAAAAAATAAAGTTGTCACAAGGCAGACTGGGTGTACTTATCCCTGACACTGGTGCCTTGTAGAAAGTGGGCATGTGTTTAGTCTGCAGTGGCGGTAAAGAGGCGGCTCCTCACTTTGTGATGGAGAAATGTGAGGACCAAGTCATTTTCTTAGACTGGGAGGGGCTGGTGCTGAGAGTAGAGGAATGAGCAAGAATACTCTGAGAAGGGTGAGTGCATGAATGAGTGCACTTTGGGGGTGTTCTTAGTGAGGAATTAGCGTTTGAACATGGCTAAAAGCTCAAAAAAAGTTGAGTGGCATTATATGGCCCCATGAAAGCCTGTATCCCACTGAGGGGAGAACATCTGCAAGTGTTTGTGAAGATAGCAAATGTTGCATTCTTGTCAAAGTTTATTCAAGGTCATAAACGTTTGCCAGTCTGGAGAATGTTCACGACCATGAACGAACATTGACAAACGCAGGCGCGAATTGGCGTCCTCTACCTTCGCCAACACTCGCAAACATTCGACCCTCAGTGAGATACGGGCTTTAATGTTGGTTTGCTGTTCTCTACTTTTGCGCCATCTTTGAATGTGAATAAAATGGGAATTCTTAGGCAAGAGAACACTTTGCTGGATGGGTAGCTGGGAAATCACAGGTTGTGGTTATTTTGTGTAGTTAAGCATTGATTCTATGTGCATTTGAAAATTTAAATATATGACGACACCAATGGCTGGCCCGGTGGTCCAGTGGTTAGCGCGTCGACCTCACAGTGCAGAGGCACTGGGTTCAAGTCCAGCTCTGGCCTCCCTGTGTGGAGTTTGCATGTTCTCCCTGGGCCTGCGTGGGTTTTCTCCGGGTACTCCGGTTTCCTCCCACATTCCAAAAACATGCATGGCAGGCTGATTGAACACTCGAAATTGTCCCTAGGTGTGAATATGAGCGTGGATGGTTGTTCGTCTCTGTGTGCACTGCGATTGGCTGGCAACCGGTTCAGGGTGTGCCCTGCCTATTGCCCGAAGATGGCTGGGATAGACTCCAGCACCCAACGCGACACTTGTGAGGATAAGAGGATAGGAAAATGAATGAATGAATCAATGAATGAAAAGATACCAATAAGGACGTGTGCGGTCTTACGTGCCCCCAAATTAGCGAGAATGAAAAATTGTGGCCCACCCATCATTTAAGGTGTCCATGGCTGATCGATCTTATATACAGATATACCGTGTAGAACAAAACTTTTCATCATTTTGGGAGATTGGCTTTACATGATTAACATCATAATGAGCGGTAGAAATAATCACACACTAACCGAGTGTATTCAGAGCATAATGACGTGCTTTTATACAGCTGTGCATATTTTAGCTGACAACATCCCACCTGAAATTCAGAGCTTGTATTCCCAATCTGATTGACATTGGGCAAAGAGCCGCCATAGTACTGTGGTCGTGATTGAGACAAACGAAGCTGCTGAATCTTCTGGAACTGCACCTGTCAGTCAAAAAAGAAAAAGAAAACCCATATTGTTAAGAGGGATGAGAATGCAAAAACTACTTTCAAATAAAAAGTTTAAAGCAGAAATCAGCATAATAATTAAGTGGAACTTTCAAAAAAAAAAAAAAAAAATTTTAAATGGAATAAGCTCTTCAAATGCCTCTAAATATCCTCCATAAAAAATAAATTGACCGATAAAAAGCAATTGAGCGCTAGAGTACGTGACCTTTTCTACTGCCCACACTGCACCATTTTTCTCAGGCAAGAGCATGTGCTATCAACACAGAAAATGTATTTCTGTTTGTTTGTTTTTTTTTTGTGACATTACAAACATGGAACGTGGCAACACTTACCATATTTTCATGACCAAAAGGCACACTTGAAAGCCTTAAATTTTCAATTTTCAAATAGACGGGGTGCCGAATAATGTGGGTTGCCTTGTGTATGCACAGAGTTCCAAAATCTCTGAATGCTGTTGTGTGACTTTGATTAGGGGTCCGGTTGACTGATTGATGTTGTGACGACACGCCGCTTATATCAAAGAAAGGCGGACGTAACTGAGGAGAGCATGCGGGTATGAAAGTGGAAAGGGCGGGCGTGAAAGGGGACGCTAAAGGCACACCCCCAGTAGAGATTGATAAAAGGAAATTGAGGAAACTGTTCCATTGGACTAATCTTGATTTTCATTTGCATTGGATGAATTTTGATTTTGTTCCATTGGCTTCTCATGAGGACAATGTTGAACCAAGCTGTAAAATTTTTATTGGACATGGTTTTTAAAGGACGGCAGTATTCGCTGGATTATAGACTCCCAAGAATAGTATTTTTCGAAGGAACGATCTGCTCAGTCAACTTCAACTGTTTGTGGGCTATAATAGACTGCAGCCTGTGATTGGCCGTGGACCATACACTGTTTAGGGAAAGAGTGTGCTGAGAAGTCCCACCGCGCCAAGAAGTAAATATGTGTACTGCTGTATTCTTTGTCTAAAATATGCTAAGGATAATCGCTACACATTTTAAAAATGCTGGTAAGCACATACACTGACAGAAAAATTCATAGGGGGGAGCAAATCCTCCTTTGCCATTAACCGCGATAAGTGAGGGATTACTCTGTGTGTGTGTGTGTGTGTTCAATCTATACATACATACACATAGATCGTTTGTGTGGTATTAGTTCACGGGCAGCCCGGTGGTAGATGTGCAGGGTTTGATTCTGGCTTCGGCCTTTCTGTGTGGAGTTTGCATGTTCTCCCTGCGTCTGTGTGGGTTTTCTCCGGGTACTCCGGTTTCCTCCCACATTCCAAAAACATGCATGACAGGTTGATTGGGCAAGCCTAATTGTCCCTCGGTGTGATTGTGAGCGTGAATGGTTGGTTGTCTTTGTGTGCCTACTGCCCGAACACAGCTGGGATAGGCTGCAGTACGCCCCATGACCTTTGTGAGGATAAGTGGATCAGAAGATAGATGGGTGTGCGTGTATGTGTATGTGTGTGTGTATATATATATATATATATATATAAATATATATATATTTTTTAAATCCAACTACCCGATTATTCGAGACAATTTTCAGCAGGATAACTGAATAACAAAATATGCGAGAGCTGCAGCACAGGACTTCATCTTGGCTTATTTCTCCTCAGTGAAACATGACTTACAGAAGGTTGCCAAACCACGACCATGAATGAGGCATCCCAACACATTAGTCTAATGAACAAATGTCGCAGTGAAAAAAAGGCAGGGGAGTTGCTGACATTTTAATTCATATGAATGTTTGTTTTTTGTTAAAAGGTGATCCAAAGATTTTTGGTGTAATCATTTACAGACCTCCAAGACAAAGAGGCAAATTTATGGAGCTAAATGGAAGCCAGGAATGATTTAACCTGACATGCGTTCTGCCTTCTGTGTGCAGTCCGACAAACGGACACAGAGACTTAACTCTATGTACCGGAAGGAGCATTAAAACATGCACTCGCACTGTGCGACCGGATGAAATTTTACGAGCACACATTGAAAAAAATGGGAACATCTGCAAGCATATTCGAGGCACTGTCGAACACTGTAGTCAATTATATAAACACTAATAATAAATTTAAGAGTATATATACACGATAAATTGAGAATTTCATGAGTTGACTAATGTCCTAAATAACTTAAAGACACTTCCAACCACTTTTATGCTGTGTTTATGTGCTTACTGTACAAATGAATCTGCCGCTGTCCTTGTGTCCAGAGTTGTCTGCTCAAATTTTTTGGATAATCCAAGACTTTAAACCAGCAAAAATAACAATTGTGAAGCACTTAAAATCACCCAGGAATAATTCAAACACCATGAATGAATTTGATACAGATTTGGTTCCGCAGTTGAAACCATCACCTGGCTGTCTTGACTCAATACTATCCGACTTTTTCAAAACAATTGTGAAATCAGTTGAAACCAAGTTACAGCAAAGAATAAAAAAAAGATAACACAAATTAACAACTGGATGAACCAAATCTTCCTTCAGCTCAACCAAAACAAAATAGAGGTACATTTCTTCGGCAATAAACAAAAAGAAGATTGCTGTTACAAAACAATTGATGTTACTGTCTTTAGAAACCAAAGACAAAGTCCGAAATCTTGGGGTACTGATAGACTCAGACCTGACTTTCATGAATCACATTAAATCAATCACTAAAACCATTTAGCAGCTGAAAAACATATCCAAACTGAAGGATGCAAAACTGTTGCACCAATACCAGTATGGAACCGTGAATTTTAGCTGGCAAAAAAGACAATACCATAATTCCCAACTGCGAACGTGCTCCAACTCTGTGTCAGACGGGGAAGAGTTGCCATCAGGAAAATGTGTTCATTTTCTCGAATGGCTCGTGCTGGGCATTACAACCGACTCCCTCGCCCCTGTCGGCAATTGTTTTTGGGCACATTACTGCTGGACACCGTCGCCGACTGAGTTTCGGCGCATCAACAATAACTTTTCAACACATGACGGCCGCAACACCGCCGTCAACGAATATTTTTCATCAAGTGATGGCCACGACGATGCATATTCCCGGGCCAAATTTTGTTTGCAGCCCATCGCTGGTGTTTGCGATCTGACAGAAGGTGAAAACCCATCAGTGACATGTGTCAGCCAATTTCATACTTTTCATGTAAATAAAGAAATAAATATCAGAGTCTGGATATTTATCCCGATATTTTAAAAAGGATGGTGTGTGCAAATTTTAGCCAGCTTTCTCAATCACCCTCATTCACATGAGATTTATAAAAAATAGTGTTGCTGCATATTGGTATTTATCTGTTTCCTGATTATTGTGGAAAATCATTATTGTGCCCCCCATTTGGAAATTTTTGTCGCTCAATTATTGTGGTCGACTGAACCGAGTTGGTCCATTTTTCCCAGAACTAATAGCAACATAATAATAATAATAACATGATTAAATATAATTTGACCACCCTAATAGCAACATAATAATAATAACATGATTAAATATAATTTGACCAAATTTGTTATTTCAGAAGTGTGTATCAAACCTCTTTGCACTAATCAGCAGCCAAGAAGTAACTCTCAGCTTCCAAAAAGTTGGTGAATCATGATTTAGAACAATTGCACATGAAACATTTAGCCTTTTTTTTAAACACAAAACGATAATTTTAGTACTGTACAGTATAATAAAGTATCATGTCATTTTTGCCAGCTAAAATTCACGGTACGACACTGGTACTGGTAACTTAATGCAACACAAGAACAGATTGTGACCACAGATGTAGGTTGGCTCATTAGAACTGTGACAAATGCCTTGAGTTTTTATGATTTTGCTGCAATACATCACCACATTAGATTTGAAATAAAAGAATCAGGATTTGATTGAAATGTAGACTTGCGGTCATAATCTGAGAACATTTACGAGCACACCTCAATATTTGGATGTTTTGGGGTTTTTTTTAGACAACTGACTTAACTGTAACTATGATCTAACTATGATCTAAGTGTAAACCATCGGCATCACCAAATTCTGCCACATTCGATTGCTACTTGTTTGCGGCTCTTGCCACTTTTGCCTTCAAAAACATAAAAGCAAGCTGGGTCACGATTACATAATTTGACATGTCCATCGAAGATTTTTTGTTTTTCTCCTTCAAACTGTCGGCATTCACAACACGTCTGGACTGTTTTCTTTGTGGAGGTATAAAGGCAAATTGTAGAAATATTGTAGCTGTCCAAATACTTCTGGATATAACTATATTAAATTCAATTGTTGAAAAGACAGCTAAAATAACAGTGACTGAACAAACACAAAATTATAACTAAAGTAGTCATCAGTAATTATGACAGCGTAAAGCGTTTGTTTAATTTATGTGCCAAAATAGCAAGTGGTTGTGCCCAAATTAAGGTGTAACTTACATTCCATAATTAAGAACAATTCTTTGGAATTTTCACTGTCCCAGTGGAGCATCACAGAGTTCAAACGGAAGGGATTCAGCCAATTGAAGTGAATGACCAGATGCAAACTCAGCACAAATCTTAGCAGATTTCACTCCCTCTGGAGTACTTGAGATGCACAGCATGGGGAACTGGTGACCCAGTGAATGCGACACTCGAACCGCTTTCCCAGTTCTTGTTTTACGGATAGCAAGAATTTTATAGTCTGGATTGTGTTTCACTCAAAATGATCCTTGTTGTATTCCAAACATTACGGAGAGTTCTAGGGGTTGACAGTAGCTACGGTTTAACACAGCGACGTCAATGAGAAGTACTAATTAAGCGGACACTTAGGAGGTGCGTCGTTTAAATAGCAGCCATAGTCTCATTCAAGAAGACAACAGAATAACAAAAGAGTATTTACCCTTGAGACCGTGAGGTCCGTCATCAGCTGCTCGAAGGCTCGCGTCTCCTCTGCTTGCTTCTGGTTATGCAGGGCAATCTTTTCACTGAACTTCCTGGGGTTCGAGCCCCCTGTGCCCGGAGAGCCGGACATTGTTCTACAACTTCAGATTCTTGGGGAGAGAAGTCGGCAGCGGTGCTTCGAATCTATTTTTCAAGGTTTCTCAGTGGGCACTCCATTGGATAAAGTAAAAATATATATATATGTCTGCATTTAAAAAGAGCACACATTACTTGTGGATCAACGTTTGAATAATGGAGAAATGGTTAAATAAATTTCTATATGGCGTGTTCGCAAATATTAAGTGTTTGCAAGTCAATGTCGATGACTTTCACTGAAAAAAAAATTCTGACAGGGATATTTCGATAAAACCAAGTTAATGACACAACAGAACTTCATATTGACACATTGTCAGCGGCCACTTGGAGGAGTTTGACGTTTACGTAGCTGTCAAAGCTAACAACATAATATGGAGGTGAACGGATTGAAAAAGCGCTGCAGCTAGTCGCTAGGTTAGCTAAACTGGTGTCAAATCCGTCCGGACCATCTTGCACCAAAGAACTTTGCCAACTTGTCGAGACAATACTTCGGCAAATAGTTGGCAGACATGTATGTGTGCAAGCCTCGCTCAAGATCTTTAGTTCTTCTACTAAAGAAAGTAGAGTGCCCCGTTAGCAAACACCTTGCTAACAACGTTAGCTCAGTTCCCAAGCAATGGAGCCAAGCTTTTCTCGCTAAATTGTATTTCAACAAGTGTCCGCTGGTCTTATCCAGACTCACTCAGTGTCGAGTTTCTCTGACCACGAAGGAAGCAAAAACTCGTCTACGCACGCAACTGTACGCACTTGAAGCGGGGGTACAGTCCACAAATTCTCACTTTAACATTTAGATTACAGTGAAGTCGATCTTTGCGTTAATCCACGGGAAGCAGTTAGAGACCTCAAACTCCGACCCGATGACTCCATGAAGAGAAACAAGCGACGCCGAAGGTTAATACTCATTTCCTCCACACAGATTGAGCCCAATTCTTCTGCCGGGTTGCCGCATTCTGTTTCACCACATCAACCGTCAATTGACACGGCTTGAATAAGCAGGTCTGACCCGACGTCTTGTCATCCCCAGTCTCTCAGTCTCTGATGCGAGAAAAACATTGCCTTGTTAAATTCCATCGATTCTCCCGAAGACCGCACGGAGGCGACAACGGCAGGCCGTCGTTAGAAAATCATTTGGGTGACAACAGAAACGTTCACACTGCAGTTCTGTAATAATAACACGATGTTTATGGCCTTGTTTCTGACAAAGTTAATTCGGCATAGCATTTTCTGTTAAGCAATGAAATAAAGGTAAATTACACTTACCGTCATTGGCATATTCAAAGACATCACATACCGTACTGTTCATTCTTACGGACATACACTGTTGGTTCCTTACAAGTAAATCACGTCATCATCACTTGTGTGCAAATTCTGAGTATTTGCGTGAAATTGTTTTTATGGTACAACTGTACACCGCACTTAAAATGACAACACTGTACAAAGTGATTCAATACTGAACTCTCAAGCACTACTATAGCTTTTTAAAACAGACTTGCATTCAAAACAGTCTGCAAAACAAACGTCAGATTGGGGCGGAGGGGGTGGGGGCGACATTACATAATAATAACGATCGTTATTTTAAAACGAGGCACATAAAATATAATGAACTGTATTGCCAAAGAGCATTCGCCTCTCATCGGGACTGCATTAAATAACACTAAATACTGACATTCTGTCATATAAAGTCAAAGTGGAATGAAAGGCAACTTGATCCCTCAGATATTCATATATGTAAAACAAGAGACATTATAGAATGACATCTACTGGATCTTCTGAATGTAAGACTGCACATCTTCCAGTTCAATATGGTCTATAAAAACTTTCCAAAATGAATGACACTATCATGCTCACTGATAAAAACTAAAATATAAATTAAATAAATAAAGCTAGTAAGGGTATCTTTGTAAACAAGATTATCATTCATAAAATGTGCATCCAGTCCGCATATTTGCATTCCATTTTATGTAGTACAGATAGAGACATTCTATTTTTTTACTTTTGTAACATGAACATGTTCCCTTATACGGTATGACACAACTGAACAACATGAGATCTGAAAAGAAATCAAATCCACTGTAAAATCAAATGCAAAATTACAAAGGAAGCAATATAAAGAAACCCAGATGACTTTCAAAGCCAGGTTATTTTTCAAGATGAAGAAAGGGAAAAGAGAAAGAAGCCGTCGGGAACTTGTCAGGCCATAAGTGTCTTCTCCAGCAAGGAGCCTTCGTTTTCACTTTTAGCTGCGCGTGGTTGTTTGCAATCTGCGTAATTAGATGGTAGAAGTTTACCTCGAAGTTGATTAAGTTTGAACTTATTGGACGGGAAGAATATGGGACAGAGTTCCAGGTTAACAAAAGTAGCTTTATGTTGCTGTAGAAAATATTTTCCTACATAGGGCAAGGTGGATCAAATCCAAATCTGTGAATATAGCTTTAAAAAAAATACTACAATGCACTGTTTCTGTTTTCTGGGGTTTCTTTTGTGTGTGTGTGTGTGTGTGTGTGTGTGTGTGTGTGTGTGTGTGTGTGTGTGTGTCACACAAACCATACAAATACCCAGAATGAAGTTTAGGAATAGACTTCTTCCACAACTCTGCTGAAAGAAGTGCTTATCAAGCCTCTCTCAGTCAGGTCGAGAAAAAAAAAGGCAATTTTACATATAACATCAATTTTTATAAGTAATCAATGCCTGTGAACAAGATATTAATATTAAAAAGAGGGAAAAAAATACAACTCTTTAACATCTGGCGTGGCTGCAGTTACATAAAATCCTCGAGCAAATACCTGTGTTATGTTGGCCGGAGTGGCACAAAGGGAGTGTTCCACTGGAAACCACGCACATATGCTGATGTACACATTTAAAAAATACATTTGCAAAGGCACATAAGGCAAGTGCGTCGGGAAAAGATTAAGACAACCATAATCATTTAGGTCGAGGCTTTCAGCAAGCCTTCTTGTGGTCAAATCAGTCCGTTGCCTTCTTTAAACTGTTTTCTCTATTTCCCATAAAATTTCTTGTTGAGCAAGAAAATAAGCAAGTTGACATTTATTGTCGCCCTGTTGAAGAGTTTCATCACTGCCACGCCTTCGTACTGCAGTTGGAGGAGATCCTAAGAGCATTATAGGAAGCAAGGACACAAATCAAAATCAAGCGAATCATTAACAATGTCAGTACTAACAATCTGTACAATATACTTCTGTATGTAAAAGCGTCTCATCGAGCATACCTGATATTCTAACTGTAATGTCTCAAAGTGGACCCCCAATAACTTTGCCTTCACGTCAAAGACTCCAACAGCCTCGGCCGGAGAGATCTCAAAAATAACATTCTTGAACCTACGAGGAGAAAAACATGAGTTTCAGTTTTCAACTCGACTCAAGAGCACCCATTGAAATATTTGAATATTCAACATTTAAATCCCACACATTTAGAAACAAGTCTTATTTTTACTTAGAAAATGTACCATTTTCCTTATAACAGGGATGTCCCAAAAATTTCTGGTCTCACACCTTGAAAGCGAATACACACCACTTTCTTCATACAGCAGATAAACCAACTCTTCTGTGTGACTAACAAGGCCCTGCTTAATCACCAGCAATCAACACGCCAGTAATTTTAAACAATAGAAGAAACTCAAATGTGATGTTTGGTTGTTGCAGGATAATGCCCCAACTCACAAAGCACCGGTTTCAGTAAGGCAAGTGACTGCAGATGTCAGATCCTTCTTCGGCCTCCCTATTTGGCTCCATCAGACTTCTTTTTGTTTCCCAAACTGAAACATGAACTGCGTGGTCAACATCCACTTGGTACTAATTAAGACACGACAGATGCTGAAGAGGCATTCCATGAGGGATGTGATCAAACCGGGTTCCGGGACGGACTTATACAACTGGAGCATCGAACTCCAAGAGGATTATGTTGAAAAATGGAAATCTGAATTCTTTCTGCCTCTTGTATTGTTCAGGCCACAAACTTCCGTGACCCCCCGTGTATGGCGTTCAATTTGCATGGCAGAGTTTTAACTGGCTATGTTGTTTTGCAGTGTTCCGAAACCCACATTGGCAATATCCTTAACAGAGTGTTGCCCTTTTTTTATTGTGGTACAGCCTGAGCAACTGATGGTCAAAGGCATTCGATGTTGGGTTTTCACCCGTATCATTTACGTGCAGAGGCTCCTGCAAATTCTCGGAGTCTTTTGGTGATATTATGGACCAGAGATGATGAAATCCCGAAATTACTTGCAATTATATTATTTTATTATTATTATTATTGGACTATTTGCTCCCAAAGTTGTTCAAAAATGGTGAACCTCATCTCATCCTGGCTTGTGAACAACTGAGACTTTTGGTGGTGCTGTTTTTATACCCAATTATGACACTCATCTGTTTCCCACTCACCTGTGGAATGTTTTTTTTTTTTTTTTTAATTAAATCATCCATCCACTTTCCCAGTCTTTTCTTGCCCCATGTCCCAGCTTTTTTGGAACATGTTGCAGGCATCAAACTCAAAATGTGTGAATTTGCAAAATAGAATAATGCTCACCTGCTTGAACATTAAATATTGATTTGTTACCAAGTGCAGAACTTACTGGTTAGGCTGCAGATCCTCAATTGAAATGAGTACTCCCTTCTCATATAGACGTGAGGCAGTGTATTTCTGTGCAACTTGTTTACTCTTCTTTGCCTTGTTGACACCAGGCTTTGACAACCTGAGAGGAAAATCATCATCATTCCGCATACATCAAATGATCCTCAGGCTCAATATATAGAAGAGATCAATAAAAAAGAAAGGTGAACACACTTACTTGCCCTTGCTGGCCAGGTTGTCCATGCAGGTTTTAATATACTGATTGTAAGAATCAATCTGCACATTGTAGAACTTGGTCTTTGAATTCAGGGCCGTGTTGGTTTGCTGCAGTTTTACGAGTTCAGCTTTTCTACGCTGGCGATAACGTCTCTGATTTCTGATGTCCTGTAATGCACGCAGGCATATTTCAAATGTGTATACAATTTATAGTTTAAGAACTGACACCAAGACTATATTGCATTTTTTTTTCACCTTGGCTATGTCATTGATGAGGTCCTGATAGCGGTTCTCAGGATTCACTTTGCCAAGCTCTGCTAGCCGTTCCAGATTACTCCTGATCTTGTCTTTTTTCCCCTGTAACGTTAGGCCATCGTCCACCACTGGTTTGACTTGCTTTATCTTCTCTGGAGTCTTCGCATCACGTATGGCCCTCCTCTGCATCGCACGTTGGTATTCTGCTTCCTGTAACCACAGAACAAAATACAGTAAGTGTAGCCTGACTTTTTTTTTTTTTTTTACTTTGAAGACACACACTTATATCAAAGATTTGGTATGCTCAAAGCAAATAACGTTACACAATAGTATGACAACAGGAATTCCCAATTTGCGGTGTGCGATGTAGTGAATTGGCAGTTGGTAAAATGATTCATGTCCAGCAAAAGGGAAATGTTCTCATCCAAATGAAATGCAATACAGATAGCTCTCTGTCTGTATGCTATCTGTCTTTTGTTGTCTGTGTGGTTTGGTTGCAGGCATAACGTATTCAAACTGACAGAAAAGAAAAAAAAAAAAAAAGTCTGTAATATGACCTGGTCCGGACCAGCTGATGAGTCCAGTATCTCTGTCAGAGTCTCCCCAGGCTGGAACCGGATCACATCAACAATCAGCCGCTTGGTGCTAAAATTACATGGCAGAAAAACAAAACAAAAAAACATTTATGAAGCAATTACGATAATGTAAAATACAAAGATCAAATAGTATGACCTTACTTGAGTAGGAGGGTCTTGGCATCCACCTCACTATTGGCCTCACCAGGTACATCAAATTTGTTGGTCAGTGTTAGGGAAACCTCAGTCTTGCCCATTTGCTCTTTGTTCGGGTCACCGGGTGGGAGAGGATTTTCACCTGTTTAACCCAGTAAAACAACACTATCAGTCAAGAGTTGTGATATTCTATATCAGGGGTCACCAACGTTTTTTGATCCGTGACTGTTTTTTGACCCCTACCCCTCACCCTCCACCCACCCACCCAGCGCGGTCGACTTGGACGCAGTCCGCGATCTACCAGTCGACCGGGATGGGCTGGTTTGACCATCCTTTTCAATATCATCTGCGATAAAATTCTGCACAGTCACTGGTCTACACACGGCTGCCTTTTATGCAGATGACGTGGGTTTGATTCCCAGCCAGTGCCTCAATACTCATGGCCCCAGGCCCAGATAAAGGGGCAGGTTGCGTCATAAAGGACATCTGGTGTCAAAACTCTTACTCTCTCATGTGAGTAACTCCCTCTTGTGAACCCTGATAAGGATGAGCAAAAAGTCCAACAAAGTATTTAATACTTTATTCCTGATTGCTTTTAATATCCATTCATTTTCTACCACATATCCTGTTCAGGGTCACTGGTGAGCTTGAGCCTCTTTCAGTCAACTTATGAGCATGGGTCAGGCTGGTAAGAACTGAATTCAAATGTAAATTTCTCCAGTTCAGTGGTGCAAACTCATAGAGTTGGCATGTTCTTAAAATAGGCATCACTACTGTGTCACTTGTAGTATTGTGATTGGTTGATTAATGTCATTTGCCTTGGACATTGTCTGAAATATACCAAAATGGCTTCAGTCCACAGCATTAATCTCACTGTCTTTCTCTTTTTTGTAATTATTGCATACACCTGGGTCCAGAAGTACTTGAACAGTGACACGTTTTATGACTGTATATTGTTATTTTGGCTCCAATACACATCCGACGATGGATTTAAAATAAAACTAACGGTACATAAAACCGACAAGTGATTTCGAGCGAGAAACTTCAGTTCTCAACTGAACTTGCAAGGCCTTCACTGCAGCCACCCTCACTCTATGCCGAGTTTTATATCTACTCACCAATGAGAGACTCTACAGTGGGAACCTCTCCCAGGTCCTCCAGAAGCTCGTGGATGGGATCGTTGTGCTCTGGAGCAATGGCATCCTGATGGTCCAGAAGCAGCTAATAGCAAAGAACAGCCAAATCATAAGTGACAAAATATGAAATTGAGGAGATTATTTTCAGATGATAAAACAATTGGTTACAGCAGAGGAAAGCCCATAATGGGGGCCATTTTAAAAAGATGTACAAGACATTGAGGCACAACCAAACTCACTGTGTGTGTGTTAATCATCTCTCCAATAGAGATGTAAATGACAGGTTTGGTGACAGTGACCAGGTCAGAGTACTGATCCACATTGAATTTATCTTCAAGTGTGGGGACGTCGCAGGCTGTCAAAAAATATCGCCTGTAAAGCGAGAGGAAATACGCAGCAATGTAACATTTGACAAATGTGAACAACAAACCACAAAAGGACGTGCAACATTTTTTTTAAGATAGAAATAAATATCGCACCTGAACTTTTGATAAGAGTTGCTGAGATATTCATTGATGGGATTCAGGTGCGCATTATCTCCGAGAAACATCTTGTTGGAGGCAGCGTGCTGCAGCATTTTGGCTACGGAGCCCAAGTTTCGGCGCTGCTCAGTAGTGAGTTGGCCACCTGCCGACATCTCAATGATGTCAAAAGCATCGGGGGCAACAATTGCCGGGTTCATGTAACGGTAATACAAAAGGTTCCCCACGATCTGAAAAAGCAAAATGGTTCCG